CGATCACCCCCCTCCCCCTGTACTCTGTGTATTAATTTCTCTCTTTTGTAATCTCAGAAATTTCTGGAACTCCAGAAGAAACGCTCCGAGTTAGAGGCGGAAATCAGCCGGCGGCAGAAGAGGAAGCGACGTAAAAGAGGTGAGATATGGGTGAGGATGGGCCATGGACAGTACCATATTCCTGGGGTGGTGGCCAGGGGTCAGTGAATGCTGGAGGTGTCCTGGACTCCCGATCCTTCCTGATCCTCAGTGTTCCTCCAGCCTGTCTGGGGCCTCCTCCTGGCACAGTGGGCTCCGGTAAGACCCCATCTTGGTTCCTTTGGAAGCCTGGCTCCAGGGTACATAGCAGCTGCTCCCCATTCCTCCATCGCCCCCCTCCCCCCCCTGCAGCCTCCCTCTGTTTCTTCATGTTCTTCTGAGGACTGTGCAACTTCTTTTTATATCTTTGTAATTAGGGAAAAGCAAGGCCAGAAGTCCGGAGGCTCCTGAGGAGGATGAAAGGTATATGACGCAGTGTTTTCAGTCTGAGTTGTGGCCACCTAATATCACGACACTAATATTTCATGTTCTGTGTTTCCAGCTCAACAGTAGAGAAGATCCCACCTCTGGACACTCTTCAGAAATATTTTGGGGCAAATGAACACCTGAATCCTCCTGTGTGCCAGAAGGTTCTAAAGAAGGTGAGTTTCCTTCACAAGTATAAACAAGAAGGTTGATGAGGTGTGGACTTGGTGGAGGTCTTGAGAAGGTGGATGAGGTGTGGACTTGGTGGAGGTCTGGAGAAGGTGGATGAGGTGTGGACTTGGTGGAGGTCTGGAGAAGGTGGGCGAGGTTTGGACTTGGTGGAGGTCTGTCTGGAGAAGGTGGATGAGGTGTGGACTTGGCGGAGGTGGGCGAGGTGTGGACTTGGTGGAGGTCTGTCTGGAGAAGGTGGATGAGGTGTAGAGGTCTGGAGAAGGTGGGCGAGGTGTGGACTTGGTGGAGGTCTGGAGAAGGTGGATGATGAGGTGTAGAGGTGTGGATTTGGCGGAGGTCTGTCTGGAGAAGGTGGATGAGGTGTAGAGGTCTGGAGAAGGTGGGCGAGGTGTGGACTTGGTGGAGGTCTGGAGAAGGTGGATGATGAGGTGTAGAGGTGTGGATTTGGCGGAGGTCTGTCTGGAGAAGGTGGATGAGGTGTAGAGGTCTGGAGAAGGTGGGCGAGGTGTGGACTTGGTGGAGGTCTGGAGAAGGTGGATGATGAGGTGTAGAGGTGTGGACTTGGCGGAGGTCTGTCTGGAGAAGGTGGATGAGGTGTGGACTTGGCGGAGGTGGGCGAGGTGTGGAGGTCTGGAGAAAGTGGATGATGAGGTGTAGAGGTGTGGACTTGGCGGAGGTCTGGAGAATGTGGATGAGGTGTGGAGTAGGTGGAGGTCTGGAAAAGGTGAGTGAGATTTAGGCTTGATGAAGGTCTGGAGAAGGTGGGTGAGGTGTAGGGATGGGGGTGGTCTGAAGAACGTGGATGAGGTCTGCGTTTTGTGGAGGTCTGGAAGAAATGTTTGGGGTGTATTCTGGGTGGTAGTGTTGCAGGAAGTGTAGATGTAAAAAAACAAAACGCAGAGCGCCACCTCGGAGTGTAATTCCATTCATTCCATGTAATGTAAAAGTGATCAATATACTCACGTAGGGCGGCAAAAACTAATCGATTATAATCGATAATGAGAAGTGATTCTCATCATCGATTAGTTGCCGCAGCTCTGCTCCTCCGTTCTCCTCCCCGCTGGTGCTGGCTGAAGCTGTCTGTGTCCCTTTCAATCCCCACTGCTATCCCCGCCTGTATCGGCAGCGGGGACACCGAGCACTGCAGCCGGCGGCAGCGTGGAGGAGAGACGCTGTGACTGGATATATGCACTGCACCCCCCCGTATCTGCACTGTTTTATCCGATTAATCGATGAATTGAAGTTAATAATCGGCTGACTAATCGATTTATGAAAATAACCGTCAGCTGCGGCCCTAGACTCGCACACGGCGCTTAGAATATTCCTCTGTGACTGCGGCAAATCCGAGGAAGAACGTTCGCAGATCATTCCCTTTCTGGCAGAACTGCCGATCACTCTTGTCACAAAGCCCTCCGCTGTAAGCTCGGGCTGACGCGTTTCCCAGGCCACGCCCCCTTCAGAGCCACAGCTAGTCCGGTGTGTGAGGGCAGATTAAGATTGGAAGCCAGCCAATCACGGTCAAGCCGTTTCTATGAGGTGACAAATGACGATTGGCCAGGACAGGAGCTGACGAAGGAAAGCACAGCTCCACGTCAGTGCAAGGCATGTGAGGGAATCTCCGTAATAAAAGCTTTCACTAAGATGGAACGCATAGCTACACCGGCATATCTGCGTACATGCGCGTGTGAAGAAAAATGCATGATTACTGGGCAATATTCCACATGAATGAATTGAATAATAGTGAGCCTGACACTGGATGTCTCATACCTGGGATGTATACACGTAGACGCGCGGCCCCAATCTGGCATTGTTGAAGGATGGCGGAGGCTCCACCAGCACCAACATCAAGAATTGTTTCTTTTACAATGTGCAGATGCGACGAAGGTCACCGAGGTCCTGGCATAGCGAAGGTCAAGGCTTGATTTATGGTGTGGGGATAGTGGCTTAGTTCCAGGGCCGGTGAGCTTGGGATAAAGTTGGTGGGGAAGTATTTGGGCTTGATGGAGGTCTAGAGAAGGTGGGTGATGTCTGGAGAATGCAGGTGAGATTGAGGCTTGGTGAATGTCTGGAGAAGATGGGTGAGCTCTATGATTATGGGAGGTCTGAAGAAGGTGGGTGAGGTCTGGGCTTGGTGAAGGTCTGGAGATGATGGGTAGGCTCTATGATTATGGGAGGTCTGAAGAAGGTGGGTGAGGTCTGGGCTTGGTGAAGGTCTGGAGATGATGGGTAGGCTCTATGATTATGGGAGGTCTGAAGAAGGTGGGTGAGGTCTGGGCTTGGTGAAGGTCTGGAGATGATGGGTAGGCTCTATGATTATGGGAGGTCTGAAGAAGGTGGGTGAGGTCTGGGCTTGGTGAAGGTCTGGAGATGATGGGTAGGCTCTATGATTATGGGAGGTCTGAAGAAGGTGGGTGAGGTCTGGGCTTGGTGAAGGTCTGGAGATGATGGGTAGGCTCTATGATTATGGGAGGTCTGAAGAAGGTGGGTGAGGTCTGGGCTTGGTGAAGGTCTGGAGATGATGGGTAGGCTCTATGATTATGGGAGGTCTGAAGAAGGTGGGTGAGGTCTGGGCTTGGTGAAGGTCTGGAGATGATGGGTAGGCTCTATGATTATGGGAGGTCTGAAGAAGGTGGGTGAGGTCTGGGCTTGGTGAAGGTCTGGAGATGATGGGTAGGCTCTATGATTATGGGAGGTCTGAAGAAGGTGGGTGAGGTCTGGGCTTGGTGAAGGTCTGGAGATGATGGGTAGGCTCTATGATTATGGGAGGTCTGAAGAAGGTGGGTGAGGTCTGGGCTTGGTGAAGGTCTGGAGATGATGGGTAGGCTCTATGATTATGGGAGGTCTGAAGAAGGTGGGTGAGGTCCTGGCTTGATGAAGGTCTGGAGAATATGGGTGAGCTCTATGATTATGGGAGGTCGGAAGAAGGTGGGTGAGGTCTTGGCTTGATGAAGGTCTGGAGAATATGGGTGAGCTCTATGATTATGGGAGGTCTGAAGAAGGTGGGTGAGGTCTGGGCTTGGTGAAGGTCTGGAGAAGATGGGTAAGCGCTATGGTTGGGGGAGGTCTGAAGAAGGTGGATGAGGTCTGGGCTTGGTGAAGGTCTGAAGTGGATGGGTGAGCTCTATGATTATGGGAGGTCTGAAGAAGGTGGGTGAGGTCTGGGCTTGGTGAAGGTCTGGAGAAGGTGGGAGGTCTGAAGAAGGTGGGTGAGGTCCTGGCTTGGTGAAGGTCTGGAGAAGATGGGTAAGCGCTATGGTTGGGGGAGGTCTGAAGAAGGTGGGTGAGGTCCTGGCTTGATAAAGGTCTGGAGAAGATGGGTGAGCTCTGAAGAAGGTGGGTGAGGTCTGGGCTTGGTGAAGGTCTGGAGAAGATGGGTGTGCTCTGAAGAAGGTGGGTGAGGTCTGGGCTTGGTGAAGGCCTGGAGAAGGTGGGTGAGGTCTGGGCTTGGTGAAGGTCTGGAAAAGGTGGGTGAGGTCTGGGCTTGGTGAAGGTCTGGAGAAGGTGGGTGAGGTCTGGGCTTGGTGAAGGCCTGGAGAAGGTGGGTGAGGTCTGGGCTTGGTGAAGGTCTGGAGAAGATGGGTGAGCTCTATGATTATGGGAGGTCTGAAGAAGGTGGGTGAGGTCTGGGCTTGGTGAAGGTCTGGAGAAGATGGGT